TTTTTTTTTTTTTTTTTTTTTTTTTTTTAACAATGTCTGAAGTTTTTCCTCAAGGTGCCACGTGGCACGTCAATCTGTCTACATCAACAATGGAGAGTATCGTCATCAACCAGGTACGTATCCTCGATAACCACAGTCTTGATCCCCTTCCGAAGTGACGAAGAATCAGAACATCCTCATCAATCTCGCAGCCCGCCACGTCATCAATCATATACAGGTGGCAGCGGCCACGTCAGCAACGGCGCGTGGCAGCTGCCACGTCAGCATGCCCAGAAGACCATCGCCAGCCAGCACCTTGCCAGCCAGCAGCGCCTTGCCGTCCTCCTCTGCCAGCATATAGCCGGCGTCAAGCCAATGTCGCAATGTCGCAGCATAGCAACAACGTCAAGTCCACGCGTGAAGTCAGCATTCACGCAAGACTGAATGTCCTCCAGCCAGGAAGTCAACTCTTAAATAGCGTGGATGCGGGGTCTGGACCCCGGGTGCTAAAGTCCTGCACCGTCCAGATCTCAATCTGAAGGAGGGTCCAGATTGGCCAGAAACTGTATTCCTCCTGCCCTGAATGCTGTCTGGGTACCTGCACACAACAAGTGAATGTATCCGACCGTAGGCCTGGGCGCGTTACCTTTGACTCTACAGTTGACTTTGACTGTTGAATTTCCTTTGTGCTGCGTTCGGTCACACAGCCTCCTCGACAGACTCAGGCTGGGCATGTTTCGGTCACATAGCCCAGCACAGTCTGTGCTTTACCGGGGGGCATAGCCCAGCACAGTCTGTGCTTTACCGGGGGCAACGTTCTGAGCCCCGGTCTGCTGCTGAACAGGGTTACTGCACAGGTCCTTATGGTCCTGGCTCCATATCCATTCTGGGGAGCATCAGTCTGGTTCCTGTCAAACGGCAAGTCGAGAATTGGAATACATGGCGAACACTCTTATGCTTCCTTCCGTCTGGCCGAAGGAACCCTGACCAGCATTGAATGCTCCTATGTAGGAGGATTGACTGTCAGCTTGCCCTACCGCTTTTCCTCTAAGAATCCATTTTGATTCGGTCATGTGGTTCGTGTGTGACAAGAAAAGAGGAGAGTTGTCTGTATTGTTGAGACTATGGTCTCAGTTTGCCCCTCGCTGGGTCGTCGTCCTTGCTGGAGTTTTGCTGTGCCAACTCTTCCAGATCAATCTATTATCTGCCACTGTTGCGATCTTTCCCTGTAGGAGCCAGTCCCTCGTGAAAGAATGTCTCTTGGTGGTTAGTCTTTCTGGTCTGACTTTAGTTGTTGATGTAACCTCCCTCCATCTGCACCGAATCTCAGTTTCCGTCATACTCAACAGTAGGGCCCACATTTCTTCCTTTGCCACCTCAGTTCTCTCGATAGTCTTCGTACACCTCCTTTTTCGGATCACCCACAGAGCCGGCTTCCTGAGAAGGTGAAACCAGATTTCCTAGCCGCCTTTGAGATTGTTAGTACGGTTGGATAGAAGGAGGATGTTTTGAGGAGATGTAGGGGGAGGGGGTGATGAGAAGAGGAGGGACCATAGGTCGTGAGCTTTGTTCCATATCCAGGCTGCTTCAGTGCAGTAGAAGAGGCAGTGGGGTATGTCTTCTGGTCTGTTTTCTGTGCATCTAACACATAATTCGGAGCTGTCGGGATCCCGTATGTTTCCTTCTCTTGTGGAGCCATTGGTTGACGGGCAGGAATGCATGCGTGCGTGGGCCACTGCATGCTTCAGATCCTAACCGGTCTGATGGACAGGTACTTAGTCCAGGGGATGGAAACGGGGTCAGT